ATCAAAAATATTTACAGAACTTACGCAGCTTGGTGGCAAGAAAACAGCTTGACTCAAAAATGGACAAAAGACTTAAAGAAACTCTTCTTAACTAGAGAAATTCAGATGGCTAACAGTTATATATATGGAAAGAGACTCAGCATCTGTAATCATCAAGAAAATGCCAATCAAAAGTTCAGTGAGATAGTACCTCATACCTATTAGGATGTCTGTTATCAAAATGAGAAAAGGCAAGCCTCGGGGAGGATATGAAGAAAAGGGAATCCTTGTATGCTGCTGGTGGGAATGTATATTAGTACAACCATTATGGTAAGAAATATGGAATTTTCTCAGGAAATTGAAATAGAGCCAATATGATCCAGTAACCCAAAGGAATTCAAATGAGGATCATGTAGAGATATCCACACTTTCACATATTATTTTCCATAATATGGAAACAGTTCAGAGGTCTGCTGATAGATGGATAAAGAAAATGTGGTATATATATGGAGGGCTATGCTGTGCTTACCACCAACACAAAAACGTGGCATATGTATGATATGTGTGTATATGTGCATGTGTATGAAATGATACTATCCAGCCTTAAAAAGAGTGTGTGACAACCTGGATGGAACTAGAGGACTTTAAGCTAAGAGGAACAATCAAGACACACACAGAGAGATACGAACTATACGATCCCACTGAAACGGGGAATCTAAAATAGTTAGATTCATGTAAGCAGAGAGTAGAATGATGGAAACCAGGGGATGGGGGAGGGGGAGATGGAGTGATGCTGGTCAGTGGGTAAAAAGTTTCAGTTATGCGCGGTGACTGATTTTTATTGATTGAATATATAGCATTATGGCTATAGTTAAAAAACAACCACCCCCCGCCCCCCCAAAAAAAAACTATAGGAAAAGTTGGCTTTATCTTTAAATTTGAAGGTCTTTTTCAGTAGAAAATCATTAATATAATGGATTATAAACTGATTAAAGGAGAAAAAACATTCTTTTTAACAATAATAAAAAAGGATTATCAGGTTTGAAGAAGTGTATATAATTATATACACAGTGTATATAATTATATACTATTTACTATTATAAATAGTAAAGTTCACTGGAACTTCGTGTGTTAAGAGCAGTGTAACTATTGATCAGTATGGTATAGTGGAAATATCATGGGCTCTGGAGATAATACAGCCAGGTCAAATTCTACTTTTGTCACATAATAAGCTATGAAACCCTGGGCAAGTTACTTAACATTATTGCATTTCAGTTTCTATATCTGAAAATGGCAATTGTAATTACTAATCTATCGTGCTTAAATAAGACAAGTATATGAAACAGTGGCAAAGTGCTAGGATGGATGTTGCTCACTATATGGTCACTTGTATTGTTACTTTCACATGGCAGACATAGATGAGAACTGTGTTAGTTATCTGTGCTGTGTTACAGATAACCTCAAAACTTAACTAAAGCAGGCTCGGCGCCTGTGGCTCAAGTTGCTAAGGTGCCAGCCACATACACCTGAGCTGGCAGGTTCAAATCCAGCCCAGGTCTGCCTAACAACAATGATGGCAACCAAAAAATAGCCAGGCGTTGTGGCGGGCGCCTGTAGTTCCAGCTACTTGGGATGCAGAGGTAGGAGAATTGCCGGAGCCCAGGAGTTGGAGTTTGCTGTGAGCTGTGATGCCACAGCAGGGCATCAGCTTGAGGTTTTGTCTCAAAAACAAACAAACAAAAAACCTTAAGCTTAAAATAGCAAACATCAGTTCGCAATTTCTGTGGGAGGGGCAATCAGGAGTCGCTTCTCTAGTGATTCTGGGTTTCTCATACAGTTTTAGTCAAGTTACCAGTTTGGGTAATAGTCATCTGGGACTGGAGGAACCACTACAAACCAGTGTCTTGATGACATGGCTAGTGGTTTCCCCATAGAAAATAATGAGAGAGAGAGAGAGCGAGCCAGCCTGAATGAGCACAAGGAACATAAGAGCATTGATAATATGGAAGCTGTACTATCTTTTATATCATCTCTTTTGTGGTATTATTTTGATCATAATCCTGACACAGTGTTGGAGGATATTACACAAGGATCTGAATACCAGATGGCTTAGATCATTGTGTACCGTTTCAGAGGCTGCACGCTACAATCATACAGTGTGGCAGAAGATGTATGACCACTATATTGTAGTTACAGGTGGACTCTTGTGTAACCTTGTACTAGCAAGGAATATTAATATGCATAGGTTAAGCATATTATTTGCATTATTTTTCATGTGTAGTTTAACTTTAGAAGAGATAATTGGGCAAATCTGAATGTTTATGAAAATGAGGTAGCCCAAGATTCTCTTTAGTAAAATGGTAAAGTTCACTGGAACTAGAAGCAATTCTGTGATTTTCATTTTATCAGAATCTCAAGAATGTGTTATTTAGAATGAATAGATTAGATATGAAGATCAGTCTCTA